CGTGGCCTCGCATGGCTATCAATGTTTCCACTGTTGTACAACAGTGTGACATATGCCAACAAAACAAGTATTTGAATCAATGCCCTTTTAGATTGCTCCAACCCCTTCCGATTGTGGCGTAGGTGTGGGAGAACATCTCCATAGATTTCATCACCCACCTTTTCCTCTCTTTTGGGAAGATTGTCATTTGAATGATTGTTGATTGACTCACTAAATATGTTCACTTTCTCATTCTGCCTCCATGATATTCTGCCTCTTCAATTGCTCTCATCTTTCTGCAAACAAATACATCGCCTGCATGGAATGCCTCGCACCATAGTCAGCAACAGGGACAAAGTCTTTATTACTAAGTTTTGGCAAGAAATATTTCATTTAAGCGACACCACCCTTACTTACACTAGTGCCTATCATCCGTAATCAAATGGTCAAAGAAAGCTTGTGAATTGCACATTGAAAGCTTCACTCAGGTGTTTTGTAGGGGAAGAACCTTGTTTGCGGCCCAAGCTTTTTCCTTTGGCTGAATATTGGTACAACACCTCATACCATTCATTGTTACAGTTATCTCCATTTGAAGCCCTCTATGGTTGCAAACCCCCATCCCTTCTTACCTATGTTATAGGCACAACCATTGTGGTTGTCGTGGAGGATCTACTATTACTTTTACACACTATTTGCAAAAACCTCATAATAGCTCGTCTGAGGACGCAATCTCTAGCCAACTCCCATCGTCAAGATTAGAACTTTTATGTTGGAGATTGGGTTTTCTTGAAACTTCAACTGTATAGGCAACTCACTATACAACGTTGCCCCTGTTATAAGCTTTCATGTCACTATTTTGGACATTTTTAGGTTTTGCAATGCATAGGCATTGTCACTTATGAGTATCTGCCAAAATCTGCTCAAGTCTATTGTGTCTCTCATGTTTTAAAGCTAAAGCCTTTCCATGGCCAACCTCCATTTCAAGTGGCTCCTCTGCCTCCTTGGCTGACTGCTCAACATTTGTTTCTTCATCTCCATGCCATCTTGGGGAAACGAACAATTCAAGATGACCAAGGCTCAAAATCACAAGTGTTGATGCAATGAAATGATACCTCTGCTATGGAGGCCACTTGGGAAGATGGAGTGTTTAGGACAACTATCCTCACTTTAACCTTGAAGACAAGGTTCTTTTGGAGGATATAGGTAATGATACACCTAAAGAGGAAGAGTTAGCCTAAACTGAGATAGTTGTAGATAAGCCTAAGGAAGGGGAAGAACCCAAAGTGAATAGGCCTTTGAAGGAGAAAAAAAAAGACATGTTTGGTTGGATGACTATCAATGGTCCAACAAAGAAGAAAATTAGAATGTTTCCACTTAGTATTTGACAATCAGCTTGTATTTCATATTTGTTTTCCTATGTGTTGTTTGATCCAATAAGGATGTAACAAACTCACTTATATATACTAGTTTATTTTTAATAAAAAAAATTAAAAATAAACAAGCAAAAATTTGAAATCTTTTTTTTTTTTCCTTATCAATTTAGAACTTCTCTTGCTCAATGAGTTGTGGTTAGGAGTGAAATGTCACTCGAACCTAGAGCTAGTTAGTTCTCCCCAAAATGTGTTGAGACGCATTTTTATTTCAAAATAAAAAAATGATAAATTTTATAAGATTTAATTAAATAAAAAATTTAATTAATCATTTGATATTAATATAATTGCTATGCTTAGTATGTGACTCGTTAATTTTTTTAGAATGCTTAAAATTCAACAAAAAAAAAAAAACCAACTCATAATATGAATTAATTAAAAAAAATTAATAACCCACTCATTGCTTCGAATTGCAAATTATTATTCATCAAAATATGATTGAGTTATTAAGTGATAAAATGAATAATAATTTGCAACTTGAATTTCAACATTTTCTTTTATCACAAAGTATCACGAATCATTACCTTATTTTTTACGTTCAACTAAATTAATCCTAAAATTCTTCTTCACATTAACAAAAATAAACTATAAACTTATTTCTATTATAACAATTTTAATTAATTAGTAGTAGTTTCAACTCTTCAATAAATTAGATTTAAAAGTGTCCTCATGTACTTAAAAAAATAAAATTATGTTTATATGTTTTGGAAAAATATATTTATATGCCTTTTTTATTTTAAGAATATATTTTGAAGATATATATAAAATTATAAATAATATATTTTTAGTAATTTAAATAATGAAACTAATAAAAAAAAATTAAAAACTCGTGTTTAACTGCTGTGATGATATCCAAAATACGTGGAAAAGTTCGTTATAAAAGTCAATATATGTGTTTGACTTGGACTGTTGATAAGTACATAAAGGCAGGAATCACGTGAGCATATGTAGACATCGCAACATGTTCGCGGAAAATGCTTCGTTTAGATTTTAGGATTAAAATGATTTTAACTTTTTTTTATATATTTAATTTTTATTTATTAAATTAAAAAATTAATAATTTTTTGATATTTTTAAAACAATAAATACATACGTTTTTATTTTATAAAATAATGAAAAATTATTAACGTGATTTAAGAAAACTCCATCAAATTTTATTAAATCATTTCATTCTCGCTGTTATTTTTAAATAATAAACCTAAGCTGTCTATTTATGAAACGGTAAGAAGTAACATATTTTTTACATGGTCGTTCATTATTTTTATTTTTGTTGCGTAAATTAATCATGTGTTGTATGATTTTCATCTTAAATTAATCATGTGTTGCGTAAACAAAATTAACGGTTTAGATTGCATCAAAGGAGAAGACTAGGGTGACCTCATACGGTTCATACATTATTGATATTTTGACGATATTTATAGTTTGAGTAAATTTTTTTGAGAAGTTTTTATGTATTTTTCTTTTTTAAAAGTTTAAAAAAGATTCCAGTTAACTTTTTTAAAATTTAAAAAGATAAATTATTTTTAATTTATAAAAAAAATTATACTAATTTTGGGGAAATTGATGTTTCTGTTTCACATGTTGTGATAATTTGGACGGTGTGTGTTTTCTTTTTATTCAGTGAGAGAAAAAAAAATAGCAAGGGATGTGTTTCTCTTCTGAGATTTGCATGTGTTTTACGGGAACAAGAAGTGACCCAGAAAAACATTATCAGAAAAATATATATAATTTTTCATTTTTTACTTTTCTGGGAATATTTATAAGACAGAAAATAATTCTTTAAAACACGAGATGACAAGAGGAAAAAGTATAAAATGTGATAAAAAAATAAGAAAATAAAAATAAATACAAATATATGTAAGGATATATAAATTTTTATATAATAAAAATTAAGAAGTTGCCGCTTTTTATTATTCTGATATGAATATTTGATACGAAAGTGAGAAACAATATAAACGCATCCGCCAACTACTGGAAATTTTTCAGTACATAAAGCTTTAAAGTCAACCGAAGTCGTGTTGTGTGGGCCTTATCTACCATTTTCGCTCGTCATCTTATAATTTATTTTTACGTCATTTTCCCAAGTTAACGTAAGGAAGGGTAGATGAAGCTAATTATCACAGTCGTTCTTTTTCTAGAACCACATCAATTACTAGTTCACACTCGTTTGATTTCATTTTCAAGAAAATACACACCACTCATACTCATGATTTATAGATAATCTTACAGCAGATTTTATGAAAAAAACAGAGAAATTCAAGTCTCCTGAAAAGGGTCCAAATCGTAATAATTGATTCATTAATTTCGTGTCAGACTACTGTGAAATTAATCGTGTGCTTATTACTTTTTCTTTTATAACATAAAATCAATTTTGTTAACTGGTTTTTTTATGTTATTTGTTAAAGAAAACACTAAAAAACAATGTTTTAAAATTCAAACTATTTGTTTCTGCTCAAAAGTTCGTGTTTATTTATTTGATCGTAGAATGTTCCAAAGTTACGTAAGAACAAGGTAAATGTATTATCCAATTGGAATTTTATAGTATTAAGGTCAACTAAATCCAGGGGTCCTGTGGGCCTTCTGTAACATTTTTCTCTCGTCATTTTTTTTATAATTTAATTTTACGTTGTTTTCCCCTTGCCAATTGACAATCCCACGAGGAAGAACAAAGAAGTTAAGTTGAACAAAGGTAGATCCCGTCAAGAAAAAACTTGTTACAATGAGAATTTTTTCTGGAATTAGTCCAAGCAGTTGCACAATCTTTTAATATATGTATTTCTTGATTGAAATTTTAATTATTAAAATTGGGGGTCAATTCTATACCACCCTTCTCAAAATTATAAACTTTATGGTAAATATTAAGTATACAAAATTAAAAAAAATTATTTTTTAAAAACAGAAAATGCAGACCACTAAAATTATATGCTAGATGTCATTTTTGTTATGTAGTTTCAACGGGTGAGCGAAATCTCCTTTTCATGATAAGTTACTCCTTATGTCAAGTATGCCCATAAGAACATATTTGAGTAAGTAATTTAATTAACTGCTTATTTAATAAACTCTAACCACATACGACTTTATCACATAAATTTGTTTAAGTTAAAAAACATTAAAATCAAGCTACATGAAATAATTTTTTGTTAACATAATTTAAAATATGTTTAAATTCAAAAATTATAACTTGCAACGTTGAAATAATGTGAATATATTTTAGCTAAAATGCAAATTTGAACATCATAATAATAATAAAATATTATCTCCATCTTAAAACTGAAGTTAAGTAACTAATAACTAACAAATTATATTGAAAAAATATTTATTATATTTTTTATTTTGATAAAAAAATTATTTGTAGATATTTAAACACAATGCTTAAGGCTGGATTAACAAGAACTCATAGTAATATATACGTAATTTATGAAAGTCAAAACGCGAATATTCCGTTTACATGTACAACAGTTTTAGCATAACACACAAAACCAAGTAACATTAAATTCTAATGTCCCCGAAAAAAAATAAAACCGGTAGTCTGTGTATGAGGCGGCTGAAAGCTTTGACTATGTAGCATGTCAGAAACTTGCTTTGAAAATTGGAAGTCACAATTTGAAATTAAAATTGCTCTCTGAAATCAAAATAATTGTGCTCATTTTATCTTATTGGAAGTTGTTGAACTGTTTAATTGCATAAACAAAAACCTCATTAAGACAGTGACAGTTTCCTTTTAAAGAGAGACATTGTCTGAAGGCATGGTTAGGTTGATGTATTCAATTTATTACAAAAGCATGATGGGGTCATGAGTAGTTGTGTGTCACGTTGTTTTTTCTTCTTTTATGTGTAAGCCAAGCTTCTCTCAGATTTTGGAGTACCCAATTGGTGATTTTGTTTGAAACTTGGGTGTGGTTTCATTTGGGAGAAGAAGAGTGGTGGAAATATCTTCTTTCCTTGCCAAGATTTGAATCACTTCATGATTTCAAGTTAACTTAGCTGGTTTGATTGGTTAGTTCAAATCCTTTTAAAGTGGTTGTTTTGTTTGTTTGTTTTTGTTTTTTGTTTTTTTTGTCAACATATTAACCTGTTAAGGTGGTGGTTTCTGAATTTTACTCTCTCTCTTTGTCCCTGATTCCATGTAGTTGATCTTTGGAATTTCCCTTTGTCTCTTAAAATTGAGAATGATACCCATGTTTCATTTTGGAACTTGTTGTACAATGATGGGAATTGAGGGGAAAAAGGTGCTTTCTTTCTTTCTGGGGATTAGATGTTTTGGTTCACGCATCCAAAGAAAAAGTTTGTCCTTCCAAAAAATCAGGATTCAATTATTTGAATTTGAAGCTTGAAAGTTGAAATCCTTGTTCTTAATTCAACTGCTTGTTTTGTATGATCAATTGGGTTTCTTTTTAATTCTTTATACAGTACTCATTTCTTTATATGTTTCTAAGTCTTCACTGTATTTCTGTTTTTGTTTTGATATATATGTGGCATAGGAGCTAAGGTTCTTAGGCTAGTTTGGTTTGAGAAATTTATGCTGCAAGTATTTTAATGTAAAGCTATTCATTCTTGTAGAGCATTGTTTTAAAATTATTTGTTATCCACTGTTACAGATAATTCACTTTCTTCTTCAAAGGGAATAGAGATGGATAGGATAGATGAGGCAGATGAAAATAATAAAGCGCAGCATTCTGCGTCTTCAGTTGTTGCTCTAGCAGTCAAGGGTAACAAGAAAAGCAAATATGTGGTACAGTGGGCACTTAATAAGTTTGTTCCTGAGGGAATGATTATCTTCAAGCTGATACATGTCCATGCCACCATAAAAGGAGTTCCAACACCAAGTAATTTCACATTTTATGCTCATTACGTGAACTAAAGTAACAGTTTTATGCATTTAAAATTTGCATTAGAAACTTCTAATTCTAACCATGAGGATAACTGCAACAATTACTTACTCGTCCGGTATCCTCAAAAGTTGGATTATGAGGTTTGATCTATTTATAAAATGTTCCAAGGACTATCATGATTAGCATTCTTGCATTGTGTCTCAAAGTTAGGGTAATTCAACATTTTTGCACTTTCAGTGGGAAATATGATCCCTCTTTCACAAGTGCGTAATGATGTAGCAACTGCTTTCAAAAAGGAAGTGGAGTGGCAAACAAATCAAACGCTTCTACCTTTTAAGAGAATGTGTGAGCAAAGAAAGGTCAGATATCATTGCTCATGTTGATTAATTAGAATAATTAATGCAACATAGGATCTGTATTCATATATTGTTGGTACAGGTGCATGTTGATGTTGTAATGATTGAATCGGATGATGTGGTAACTGCAGTAGCAGAGGAAGTAGCTAAGGGTGCTATAACCAAACTTGTTGTTGGAGCTTCATCCCGTGGCATATTTAAAAGGTATTTATTGAAACGATGATGTATAATGCAACATGATTACTAGTTCTGAAGGACCTTTATTGAATTATTAAAATAAGGTACTTCTACAATGACGACACAATTATTCTACCTTTTCTTGACATATACTTCATTTTGGGAAAAACCATACACATTGGAGAACTAATCTGTTATCACTCCGTAGTTCATTTTAGGAGGACCATTGTTTTTACTGTTACTGTTGTCTTATCTCAAAATGATACTTCATTTATTGAATTTCTTATAAATATGAAAAAACCTACGCTTCATTTAAGCTTCTCTTTCAAATGTCAAAAGACTGAAACCGTATCTTGACATTTTAGTATGAATGGATGGAATTAGGTGAAATACTTCATGCTGAAAAGTGACTTGTTCCTTAGATCAAACTTTTAATCTCATCTTTGCACTTTAACCCTTGTTAGATCACCCTTGCAAGTGACAAATTTATTGATACAGGTGTATCAAATGAAATTCTGCGAAGCTCATCGAAACTAAAATACAACTATATTTCGTTGAAGTGTAAAAATTGATCTAGTACACTATCACTTGTTAATTTTATTCAAAATGTGTAATCTCTAGGAGGCTTAATGTGTAAGTTATAAAATTTTGAAATCTGTCTAAAATGTTGGTTCTAACATAAAAAGTTTCGATTTTCGTATAAAAAATATTGTAATCAGTAAAATTGATTATGGTCTTTATATGACCATATTCCTCCTTTCTGATATTCTATTGTTTTCAGTAAACACAAGGGTATGTCTGCGAAAATCTCAGTATGCACTCCAAGATTTTGTACAGTTTATGCTATTTCAAAGGGGAAATTGTCCATACGGCCATCAGACATGCAGATTGAAGGAAGCACTGTTGATGACGCTAGTGAGACCAGTTTTTCCTCCAACAGCTCATCAAACTACACTTCCTCCTCTCAGACAGGTATACTAATAGGAACTTACCCAACACTATGGTTTAGAAAGTTGTAAACTCCAAAAAAATGTCAACAACATTTTTGAATTCTTAAAATAATGTTTTGCTAACATCTTAATTTATAGAATTTGTGACAAATTACTTGCTATAACCACATGAGCATAGACGCTTCTCCAACAACTGAAATTTTCTAGTTCAGCATTCTTGTGTTGCTGCATTGCATGTACATAGTTATGCACCTGCTCATACTTTTCATATATTCTTGAATTCAAAATTCCCCAAGCACTTCCCTCTGGGATATAGAGAATAAAGAAATATATATATATAAAAAAAACATCTACACTTAATTATGACACTAGCATTTATGAGTTCTACTATGGCATATAATGTTCATTTTACTCTCTTAAATTGATAATAAAGGGAACACTAATATGCTTGGTTTCAATGATCTGCTTACCTTTAAACTGGAAATTTTCGCTTGTGTTACATCATGGAAAATGTCAAAATCTATTTCCCTGACATAGAATAATTACTGTTTTTGGATATAAACAGAATCTGGCTCAGTTTCATCATATGCTGGTTTACATTCCTCTTCCCTAGCAACACAGCGATTTCAAGCTCTTTCAAGTATAAATCAGTCCCTTATAAGCGCAACTCCTAGTTTAGTTGACACTAACCATTCTAGAGGCCAGTCTCTAGATCTTGGAAGAGAAAATACTGCTACAACAAGTTCTGCTAGAAACTCCGATATTGATAATGCTTTGAGTCGGGCCTCTAGTTGCAAAAGCTTTATTTCAGATACTGAATCTTGGATCAATGATCCAAATTCTGGCAAGGACGTGCAACTAGCAACTACACTTCCATCTCCCAGTAGGCAGGTAATTGAAATTTCTTTCTTTTGACCTGAAATTTCTTTTTTTTTCCCATCACCTTTTGGTTTCTGACAGAGCGCGAGTCATGTTGTCCTTATAGCCGTTCTTGTTGTTGACTTGATAAAATGGTACTTATTTTCAATTCATTCTTTAGTGAGAGGGCCTTTTTTATCTGAGAGTGAAGGGAACTAACTTCGATCATTAGATCTTATCATGAATGGTTAGGATTAAAACATATAAAGTCACAATCTTCTTAAGTGATCATGCAACTTTTCAAATCTTATAATCATGATCATCCATGTATGGTCTATACGGTCCAAATTTACGTCGCCCACTCTCATATGAGAAGGCTCTTGTTACTCTATATATATATATATATATATATATATTTGTGACATGAATTAACATTGGGGGTAAATAAATCATATCCTTGGTTTCAATTGTATCGTTACTTGACAAGACTCCAGCAATGTAATATTTCATCTTAACTAGAATCATTGAGTCAGTCAGTCCTGTTGTTTGCTCTGTCTTTCAATCAGAGTAAGTTATGTATGCACAACAGCACAAGGTTTACTTTTGATTAATATGCAATCCTTCGTAGAAAACTATATGTAATTTGTCAAACAGCTATTGCTTCCGCAAATTCTAGTAAGATACAACTCACATATACAAATGAACTTTCTTTGTGGTCATTTATTTGATCAGGCAAAATTTAACCTTGAGCTGGAAAAGTTGAGAATTGAACTAAGACATGCCCAGGGACTGCATGCAGTAGCTCAAAGTGAGAACATTGACGCATCCCGAAAGGTAATACCTATGTTCTCAAGCCCAGAAACTCTTTCTATTACGCTTTGTCATGTCTCTAAAATAGAAATTGGAGGATGAATTAACTTTCCATATACCTGGAATTGAATTTTTTGCTGGCATTGTCAAATGGAGTAACATTCTGTATTGATTTTAGCAGCTAAATGACCTGAGTAAGAGGCGATCAGAAGAAACCATGAAAATGAAGGAGATTATTGTTAAGGAGGAGATGGCAAAAGAACTAGCAAAACAAGAAAGAGAGAAATATCAATCTGCAGCAAGAGAAGCTTCATACTTGAAAGAAAGTGCTGAAAGAGAAGCAGCAGAAAGAAAGGAAACGGAGTTGAAAGTTATTCGTGCTGCCAAAGAGAAAGAAAAGCTGGAGGATGCTCTACGTGGTTCCACGCCTCAGTACCGGAAGTTTACATGGGATGAAATAGTCTCAGCTACTTCATCTTTCTCTGAAGATCAGAGAATTGGAATGGGAGCCTATGGAATAGTGTATAAGTGCAATTTGTATCACACAACTGTTGCTGTTAAAGTTCTCAACACTAATGGAAATCGCAAAAGCAAGCAATTCCAGCAGGAGGTATGGAATTTATATGAATAAAATGTATGTGCAAAATAATGTTTCATAATATAAAGAATAAGTGTGCACTCCTTTATCGCTGAAGATCTTCTGGAAATTTAGATGGCAAGTTGTTTATTTTCTCATTGATATGTCCAAGTTTACAATCATATTTCAAAAATATGTTTCTTGTTAAGTAGAGTTCTTAAGATTAACCATTCTTCGCTACTTATATTTCTCTTTTATAAAAAAAATTTGGCTTAGATATTAGAGGCATAGTAAGTTTTCATGTTTTTCTTATTTCCAATGCTTCCATCCCCTAACTTTGGACAAACTTTACTGTCGACAATTGCAAATAATAATAATAATAATAATATAGTGATTAATGAAACTGTACATCTAATGATGAGTATGAGACTGGAATTGAACCACACAGCAGGAATTATTTTTTATATATTTTTCTCTTTGTTCCAGTTAGAGATATTGAGCAGAATTCGTCATCCAAACTTGCTTCTTCTTCTTGGTGCATGTCCTGATCATGGATGCCTTGTGTATGAATATATGGAGAATGGTAACTTGGAGGATAGACTAATTAGGAAAAACAATACTGCCCCAATCCCATGGTTTGAAAGGTTCCGAATAGCTTGGGAAGTTGCATCAGCTCTTTCCTTTCTTCACAGTTCAAAACCAGAATCTATCATCCATCGTGACTTGAAACCGGCAAACATCTTGCTCAGTCATAACCTTGTCAGCAAGATTGGTGATATTGGCCTTTCTACAATGCTCCATTCAGATATGTCTACCATGTATAAGGACACAGAACCTGTTGGGACACTATGCTACATAGATCCTGAGTATCAAAGGACTGGGATAATATCTCCAAAATCTGATGTTTATGCTTTTGGAATGGTGATCTTACAGTTATTGACAGCAAAACCAGCAATAGCACTTGCTCATAAGGTTGAAACAGCAGTTGAAGGTGGGAATTTAACAGATATATTGGATCCAGAGGCAGGAACTTGGCCATTTCAAGAGACACTGGAGTTAGCTCAATTAGGACTCAGCTGTGCAGAAATTCGGCGGATTGACCGGCCTGATTTAAATGATCATGTGCTTCCAACACTAGAGAAATTGAAAGAAGTTGCTGATAGGGCCCAACGTTCTGCTTCAATTGTTACTATTAAAACCAAACCTCCTAATCATTTCATTTGTCCAATACTTCAGGTAATTCAATACTCCATAATGGCAAAATATTGATTTTCTATGCTAAAATTAAAGAGAAACTGCTTTGGTTAAAACATTTGGTGCATATTAATGAGTTTACAACATGGCTTGAGCTATGCATTTCTTCCCATGCATCTTGCAATGTCAATGTTCTTGAAGATGTTTGTCATACTTTGTTTGATGCAGGATGTGATGGATGATCCTTGTGTTGCTGCGGATGGATATACATATGATCGCAAAGCAATTGAAAAGTGGCTTCAAGAGAATGATAAATCACCAATGACAAACATGGCTTTGCCTCATAAGAATTTGATTCCTAATTACACTCTTTTGTCAGCAATTTTGGAGTGGAAGTCTAGAGAAACATGATATCAGCATTATCTTTCTCAATCAATATTGGGATAAATGATTTTTATTTTTTTTTGTAGCTTGGCTAGAGAGGTCAGTGGATTTTAAATGTAACAGTGTCTTGGATGCAGATTTTGTTTGTAGTTGAACCATCCTGAGCATGCTGTTTGGTTAGGTCTACTTTGAATAAGTTTCTCAATAAACACTAGACAAGAAAATAAGGTGGCAAAATGATTTGAACTTCTTTCATAAGTTAAGATCAATCTATGTACATCAGTTTTGGGAGACAATGGATGAAAAATTTTTAAAATAAAAAAATGATGTTCATCAGTTGATTTTAACTTATAAAGAGTTTGATTTATTTTACCTTCTTATTTTTTTTATTGTACAAGTACTAATTGAGAAATTTACTCAAACTAAACCTTAATTTAGGGAGATTGATTTTCAAATGTAGATATAGTTGATTCTATTGTATTCTTATATATGTCAAATCTGCTTCTTATTATAAAATGAGAACAATATTTGACATTCAAGACAAACCAATGCCACATACATCTGCATAATTTGCTTATTTTATATCACTGTATTCTAATTACATGTTTGGGTTGTACACTTTTTGCTGACCCTTTTGGATTGAGCCAACAAACATGATGTGACCGATCCATTTACTTAACCATGCACTATACAAGACCTATGAAAGATGGGTACTCTTAAATAGATGAACTGATTCTGTATTTGTACTCTTAGATGAACCGATTCTGTATAATGTATTTAATAACTTGTTGAATATATGTATGACTAAAGAAGAAAATAGCCATTATTGCAAATTAATACCAAGTAAAAAATAATCAAATTAATAAGGATATTTATATAATATTTTCTTTAACAGTAGTCATAGACACATTAAAAATGGCAATGGACACTTGTTTCTCACGAAATGAAGCAAAATTATTACTCCTTTCAAAACTTGTGGTTTTTAAAGTATTTTTGTTTTCTTGAGTTTGAACACTATAACAACTGAATTTATATGCTTTATATTTTTAATGATATATCTTGTACTTTTAATTAGTTTAAATTTTTTTATCATATCTTGTAGTTATATCAATAACGGTATCCGGTATCCATACTCATATTCATGCAATATCTTAATTAACATTTTAAATTAAAAATTAAAATAATTAATACTTTAAATTCAATTTTGAATTTATCCAACTTAATTGATTGACGTTGTTTAATTTATTTTGTCTTTTCCAATATAAAATAAATGATGATGATTTCTCAGGCACAAACTCCAAAACTTGCTTAACAGTGATTATTTTTCATTTTCAAAAGAATAAATTCTTCATAAAAAAAATTTTGAATAAGCTTTTTGTGTAAGTACTTGTAAAAAGAGAAAAAATTAATAAAACACTGTTTTTGAGTTAAAAGTAACTTGTACTCTTCAAGTTTTAGAGAAATTAAATGAGTAACTTAAAAAAAATATAAATTAATTTTAACTTATAAGACAAATTTAATTCATTTTGATACTTAACTTTTTAATTCTATAAATATTTATTAAGAAGTTTATCTAAATTGTGCCTAGGTATAATAATATTTTGGGTATAAAATGAAACTAGTTAAAAACTCACTTGTATTGAACCTTTTCCTAACACTTTTAAATCAAGAATTATTTTTTTTCCAAATTTTTTCAAGCCCAAATAATTATATAGTGGCTTCAATGAGGTTTGGGTCCTTAAAAAATTTACAGTTTTCCTATTTGATCCCTTATTTTTATTTTTTTAATCTATTTTCTCAAAAACTTTTTTTTTTCATTTTTATCTAGTTTCTTCGTTAGTAATTTTTCCCCCCATTATTTGTTTATATAATATTTAAATTGACTCGTATAATTTAACTAAAAAATAACATGAATGAAATGTATCATTAACAGCACATCTTTTGTATTTTCAAATAAAATTTTAGGTTATAAAGTTAAAACATTATAAGTTAAAATTTGGAAATATGAAAAGAGTAGAAGTGTAAATATCAAATCATCATCCATATGAACTCTAAGTTATATTATATGAATCAAATTAAATGTTAAATAGATGAATAAAAAGAAAAGTAACAAATTACTAATCGAAAGACTATATAAAAAAGAAAAATAATTAGGACTTATTTGGAAAAAATTTAAAATAAAGGATTAAATAGAAAATTCATAAATTTTTAGAAGATTAAAACCTTATTTAAGCTTTACATAATTTAACCTAGAGCCGAACAAACTACCCCTGAAGAGTTTGTTGAAGGTAGTTAGTATAGTGTTAAATCAAATTCAAATTATTATAACTGATAATTTACTAAAAGTAACCTGATAAGCTGCACAAAATTATCATTTTCACAAAAATAATTTATTTGCAATTATAAATTGATATAACCAAAAGTATAATTTATTTTGTGGTTATATATGTTTAGTTAAATCGATCTTTCAATAATTTAACCAAACAGTACCCATTAAAGGTTGATTGATTGGGCTTCAAATTATTGAAGGACATAATTATTTACCTACTTACATTAACGAACAACATTCGACATGTATAATCCAAGATCCAAAAAAATTAATCATAAATGGCTAAATTATCACCTATTCTTATTGTCATCTATATTCATTAAAAATACAGCATCCATGGCATAGTTAATGACTTCGCTACATATATAAAACAACCGCAACATCTATAAAAGACCACATCCTCTTATTGAACAATGACAGCGTTAAAATAACCTATATTTTATGTCCACAGCATAATGATTCCCGTTATAAATACATATATAATCATGAATCGTAAAACAATAGTACCCGACCCTTTTTCTCCTAGGTGGGATTGGCTATAAAAATCATGAAATTAGTATAAGAAAATTGTAACCAAATGTAACAAAATTTTCCCTCCATGTTTACGAGTCCTAGACATGACTTTAGAGAATAAAAAACTTCCACTTAATGATAGCTAGGCATTGCTATATATATATATATACACACACACACTACACACACACACACTAACTTATTGTACTAAATAAGCTTCATGGTTCCTGTTAATGGCCTTGGCCAAAACAATTTATAGCAAAATCAATTAAACTTCAGGACCAGATGCAAACAAGCATACAAGGCCTCTAAACACTTGAGCTGAAAGTTGATGTGCCTCAAAGATCTCACCATCCACATTCCATACACTCTCTTTGCCCGAAGAAGTAAAAGTAAAAGCAGGGGTCTGCAAATGCTAAATAAAATTAGTAAGTTATCCTTGGGATAAAGTGGTGTTTGGATTAGGGAAAAACTAACCTTATGATGTTCAACAAACTTAAAATTCAAGGGGCTTGCCCCTCTTCTTGTAAGTTGAGTCAGGTGCCTGTATCATTTAGTAAGCAAACAAGGAAGGATCTTTTTACTAAATTTGTATTTGATTCATATGGAACAATGAGTCAAACATACTAAAACACAAACAATTAAATTTGGGTAAGAAATATGAGAAGAGAGATTATAAAATTAAGAAAAAGAAAAGAAAAAAGATTCTACAAAGAAGATCATTAGTGGGATAACACTAATTAATTAGAAAAGCCAGTTCCTTACAAGCCATGACTAAACTTTTTCAGAATGATAGTCCACACAAACTCCTGACTAGTCATATGGCTGTGCAACAAATCATTATTCTACGTTTAAAGGAAGATAGCCAGTGACAGATTTCCAAAGGATGTTTTAAAAAACGGTGTGCTTTACTGAGGGAAAAATGTCCCACCACAAAGCCAGAGGCAAGCCTTTATATCAAATGCTCAATCCAAGTAGTAGAAACTTCAGGGTGTGCTTGATCAAGTAGACAGAAAATAGAGGACAGGTTGAAAATCGAGAGAGATACAAGAGGTTTCAATTTTCACTCTTAGTCATTTGGTTCAGCAATGAAAGAATAGAAGGTGGAAGATCATTTTCTTCCCTATTCTTTGGTAGGAATGGAAGTAGAGAACTGGAAAATAAAATGACCATTTTACTCTTGCACATGCAACCGAGTACAATTACTGTAGAAAGAAAAAAATTCTTCGAATTCAGATTATATAAAAAGTAGGGGTAAAATAGTAGTTCAATTTATGGTAGGCTCAATGTTACTTTCCTAGAATGCAGATGAATCCATGTTATCTTGCACCTAATATTTTTGTTACATCAGGCAATGTAAAGTGATTTTCATTTCAAAATTTCTACCAACACAACTACGAAGACCAATCTATAAGTAAACAAATCCTAATGTCCAAAAGATTGATATGATATTGCATTACCATGTAGGATAATAATTACTTACCAACATAATCTAGATAAAGATTGAATTCATGGTACCACAGAAGAGATGCAAGAATTTCAAGAGAAATTGGCTTTTGATAATTTCACATGGGCAACGACAAAAGAAGACAAGAAGTGTTTACCATAAATAAGATGCATGAGAACAGTCTCTAATCAATATAAGATGAAGGAAACCATCTGACAGGTGTGCATCAGCCACCAATCCATCTGGTGCTTTTTCATTCCTGCAAGAGATTACAGCAGCTCCTACACTAAGAAAGCGTCCTTTGGCTCTTACCCATCTTGCTTCTGAATACAAAGAAGGTGTTGGGCTGCAAACTCCAAAGGATGCATGATTTGGCTTTTCTTTACAAACTTGGCAGTTAATTCGGCAGATACATCTTTCTGATAGATGTGAAGATCTCAATGCCCGTAATAGATTACCCTCACGATTCCTTTTGGATGTTAAATTGGTTTCATCTGATTCAACATCTAGGTACGCTATTTCTGCCTCATATGACCTGAATAATATTCATGCAAAAGAAAGGTCACATTAAATAAGCAAGATGTTAATAATCAATAATTGAAATAACTAACACAACCATTAGTTATGTGTACCAAAAATCTCAATTTGAGTCAAATCAATGCTAGTTAATAGATACAAAATATGATTTCTATGCAAAGAGGCATTACCAATAGCAGGTGAAGCAAGATATCAAGTTAGAAGATAATATTAGTAAAATTGCATAATTAGATGGAGATACCATTATTAAAATGCAGCATGCTGTATTCGGGTGTAGGAGATGTTTAAATCTGATCCTCAAGAAGAGAATCCAACAAATGTTTTGAAAATTGAAACTACACATAATCAACGTGTTGATTACTGTTTTGTCCATTTGTGCATTAAAGTTCGCTAAATCCATGAGATGTGTGTTGTTTTTAGCTTTGTTTTAAGTTTTGTCTTTGTTGTTTGAGGTTTGTATGACTTCCGTCATGTCTTGTGAATTCAGGTCAATTCATTTAAGTTTCTCACCATTGTTTAACTGAGATTATTTGGTGCATTTCCAAAGTGCAACTCCAACAAGGGACTTCTAGATATAAGAAAATAAGGTGCTAATATATTCAAGCAAACTAGAACTTGGGTCTATTAAGGAGGAAATCTTGGCCAATCTTGAAGGAGAGTTCTTAACTCATTTTGTCTTCACATTTCTAATCTTCATCCTTATTCTTATCCTTTTAATTACTTATCATTGTATTTATCTAAATCCTTATATTTTGGAATAATTCTACAAAAACGATTTGATCTTGATTTGAATTTAGGAAAACTACCTCAGACCTTCCTAAGAGAAAAACAAGGTAATAGATGGAAAAGTCAATAAAGATAGGAAATAAAAGATTTGGTAAAGGGTATTTTAGGAAACTTTTGTTCATGAACCTATATCATTAAAACAAACACTACTTTTAATCTTGTTGAAGTCCCATATCATATACCTTTATGGTCAAATAAAAGCTTATAAAAGTTATAATAATCTTCACCTTACAAGCTAGCTTTTGAGGTTAAATTAGGCCTTAGATGAAATTTAAGATGAAATCAAAGTCCATTGTAGATCTAAAATAGGTCATTCTTGATTTAAAAAAATAAACTTGGTCTCATATTTTTTCAGTGCATTTAACTTGGTCCTGCAAATTTTCTAGTGCAATATTAAAAAAAAAAAATTCTACAATTTTCACACTCTGGATATCCAATCTTGAGCGTGCGTGTGTTAAAGTTCCACATCAAATATAGACATGGACAAATAAGAGTTTATAAAAATTAAAACAATCCCCACTTTACGAATTAAATTTTGAGGTTATGCCTTAGCCTAAATTTAAGTCCTAAATTGAAAATAATGTCATTGTGAAAAGATGAGAAGGATCTACAATTTTTATGTTGACCACTTTCCTTAATTTCTTCAGATTCTACAAGTCATTTGAAGTTAATTTGAAGTTAACTTGTAATGGAGAAATGTTGCACTGCTAGTGATACTGCAAGATTATATTATTTTACTTAGGCCTATCTTCAGATAGATTGGGGATCAATTTAAAGATAATGTTGACCAGAGAGAGATTAAAAAATAGAGGCCTTCTAGGCATTCATTCACTTTTCCTCTTGGCATTTTCTTTGTTTGAATTGATGGTTGGACTTCTTTTGATGTTTGTTAAGAAACTTGGGCCTAACTCACTCCTAAAAGTTAGCTCATAAGAGAAAGATTGCCCTAGACCTTATAAAGAGTATTATGGCTCTATTCCTAACCAATGTAGGACATCAACACACCTCCCTCACACCTAGGACTGAACATGTGTGAAATTTGCAGGACTAAACATCTACATAGATGGACCCAACATCTGTGGATAGTCCAACATTCAAACTGAATAGGCTTTAATATCATGTTAAGAAACTTGGGCTTAACTCACTTCCAAAAGCTAGCTCATAAGAGGAGGACTGCCCTAACCCTTATAAGGAGTATTCTAGCTCTATTCCTAACCAACGCGGGATATCTTAACAATATTATTAGACTTGGATAAGTATAATAGATTTCATTTTATTGAGAGAATGACTTGATTTGCTTCTGGGAGAGAAATATATACCTACCAAGATTTATAATCAAGATTAGCACCTGTTTATAATGAACACAATTAAGAATGTTAAATGAGAAGCATCCCTATGTATTGTTTGGTTTATAGGAAGGGAGGTAAGGGAAGAGAGAGGCATTTTAATTGAAGGAATGGACACTTGTTTGGTTCACAAGGGGAGGGAATGTGAAGAGAAATAAACAATTTTACTATTATATGTTTATTATGGTCAAATAAAACTACTAAATTAAGAATAATTTTGTCTGATTAGTTTAAAGGTTTTCTCTTGCTCCAAATCACTCCAATTTTGGAGGGAAGCCAAAATCAAGTGAAGAGGGATTTTAACTTCCTCCCATCTCCTTCCTTCTAAAAATCAAACATGAAAAATTACAAAAAAAAAGCCCTTCCTAGCCCTCCATTTTCCTCTAACCAAAAACTATGGTAGACTGGTAAACTTATAAGAGTTTACTCAAACAAAAATAATATTTAAAAGACCTATGTCCATATCCAAACAAAATGTAATACCATACACAATAAATATTCAACACTCCAACTTCATAATCAAGCAAACTACAATAACAAAGAATGACAGTACATGTTTGTCATTAACCAACAATCCCAAACGCTTCATATGTTTGGTGAAGACATATGAATGGTCTTATGTTGAGTAAACCGGCATTCTATTCCCTAAACTTATCAGGATGAAGACCTATGAATGATTTTATATTGAGCAAACCCCTATTCTAGTCCCTAAGATTATAAGTGCCAATCACTTGTCTTTGATTTTAAAAAATATTTACTTAGTCCTAATTGCATAAGATATTCATTTTAAACTTTTTCCACTTCATTTTATGTTGTTGGTTGACGTGTGCATTATTTGCATAGTTTTTCTAAATAGATTTGCATTGAATTAGGTTAGGATCATTCGCTTTCATAATATTTTAGTATGTGCATTTCTATTCCCTTTTAGTAAGGATACTTTTTCTTTTTGGGGTAGGTAAGCATGTTCAGCCTGAAAAGATAAGAAAAGAGTAAGAAATTGGCACTCTTTTGAAAGCAATTAGAAGAGGAATTTGAAATTTGTTTGCATCACACCCTGCTTGTGACACGAGTCATGCCTAAGAAGGATGGGGCATATCAAGAATTCCTAAACAAATTGCATCATGGCCTATTTGTAATCTAGGTCACACTGTGACAGGCACCATTGTGCTAAGATAACTGTTGAGAGAGAAAAAAAAAAAACAAGAAAACATAGAATGACTCCATGTGTTGGAATAAACAGCAGAGCTATTTCTATTTATAATAATACTCAATAATTATATAATATTACATGATATTATGTTATCTAAAATCACGTTATCTATGATTACACTATCTACATAATTACCGTATGCCATTAAGCACATTGGTTAGAAATAGAGCCAAAATATTCCTTATAAGAGCTAGAGAAGTCCTCCTCCTATGAGCTACTTCCTAACCCTTATAAGAAGTATTCTTTTTTTTTTTTTTGAGAAAAATTTTGTATCTCAACTACACCACGGGATATATATGTATATTGATAATGAGAATCGTAATCATAGCTACAAAATTAAAGACAAATATACGGTTACCTACCTACCATAATTACATGGATATTATTTCTCTAAATAATATATTTAAATATATTTAACAAATATTATTTCCTTAAATAATATATTTACATATATTTAACACATAAATCATATGATCATTAAAGTTGACAAATTATGAAACAATATCTCCAAATAAGATCTTTTCTCTAATCAAGTGACAATCTATCTCAATATGATTAGTCCTATCATTAAAGACTAGGTTTGAGGTAATATGTAGAGTAGTATAATTATCACAAAATAAGGTCATCTATGTGTCCTCTCCAAACTTCAATTCCTTCAGTAGTTATCTGAGCCATATGAGCACAAAAGTAACTAAGTTATGGCTCAATATTCTACCTCTGCACTTGATTGCACGACAATGCTTTGTTTCCTACTTTTCCAAGAGATCAAGTTGTCACCAATGAAAATATAGTACTCAGAAGTTGATCTTCTATCTATAGGAGCAAGGTGGACTAGGAAGTGTCTACAGTAGGAACAATGAGACAGACCAAGATTTGATCGCAAACATTCAAGTAACTCTCAAGTAAACCATACAAGGCCAATAACATTAAGAATTGCTGGTGTTGCTTGAGTTCCTTGCCATTTTGTCAACAAAAGGTAATAGTTCATTGAAATCATGAAGGAGACCAGATTCCTAACCCAAATAGGTAGTCATGGAATCACCAAGAAGAGAGTGAGTACCAATAATAGTCATGAGGTTGTGACATACCTCATAAAGTGGTGGAGTGTTATTAGTATAAAGAGACTTAGCCTAAGTTCATATAGCTTCACATGTTTCATGGCGTCGCAGAGAAGGATGAAGGATAGCCTTAATAATACAATAAAGTTGGGCATCAATCTTCTTCCAACAAGAGCAATTAGCCTCAACAATAGTGTCAACCTCCGTTGTTAGATGGTCTTCGTAATCTTACCCAACAAACCAAAGACGAATATTTGAAACCAAGCAGTATAATTTTATCATCGACTTCAAGGTAGTTAAAATTGGGATTTCACTTTAAATTGTAAAGAGTGAAAATTGTGAATTGTAAATTGACTCGTAAGATTTTACAAAATTCGTATATATGCAGATAAATTCATATTATGCAAGTAGCACTCACAAATCAAAATTTATTTCATAAGAATTTAATGCATTGACATGAGTAAAAAATAGACCAGAAAAGAAAAGATGCAGGAACAGCAACACTAGACTCGAACTCAGAGCATTAGCACACTGCTGGGTTTAGTTGCTGATGTAGAGCAAGCCTTGAGAGATCATAAACAAGAGTCAAAGGATAAGGAACCCAGTGAGCCTAATACATTTCTAAGCCCAATAACAAGAGTAAGAACCAAAAAAATTAAGGAAGCCCTTCAACAAGCCATAATAATATTATTTGGAGAGGAGCTCAACATGAATCAAGAGAAACCCAAGATGGTGAATTGCATTCAAGAGTTAGAAGAGTGATGGCTTAAAGTATGCAATGAAGGCCCAATGCTTATTTTTGGCATGCACATGCTTTTGTTTTGAAACTTGATTTTTTTTGTAATAATGGGCTAATATGTTAAGTGGTCCAATTCTTTTAAGTTTGTGGCTGAACTAGGAGTGCCAAAACACAGCCATTGAAGGTTATTATTTTAATTAAGTGTGAGTTGAATAATGCCTAGGTGGACCATCCATTGATTGGCTGAATTATTGAGAAAAAGAGTGGTGCTTTTAGTTGCCTATTTCAGTTACAAAATGTTCATTAAGTAAAGCTTAATGAGTGGAGCTTAATGGGACTTTGAATGAACATTATTGCAGTAATAATTTCAGCCACTAACTCATTGCTTAAGAGTGGTTGGCACAAGGTTGTATGAATGATCAATTTAAATGAAAATTCAGCCTTTGCAAACTTAGAGAGTGATTCAAGAACCTAAGTTTATCAAAGGATATTCACTCGCTTTGTGTGCATGCCTAACCTGGTGAAAGAGTGATTCTTTCATTCCATTCCTAATTTCCTCAATTACCACGTAATTGAACCCAAATTCCCCTATTTTTCCAAATTCGAATTTCAACTAGAAAGGAAACCTAAACTTTCTAATTTTTACAAATTTTGCATTCCATCTCCTTAATTATCATCACCACATCATTTTCTTTCCATTTTAGTTCACCCTAATAAGGAAACTCTAATTTTTTCTTTTGATAACTCAATTTTGCATTTTCTCTTTTCAAATTAATTATAATCAATCAAAGACTCAATTACCGTAAATAATTCTTTCCCAATTCTCCCAGAATTTTGAATTTCCCCAAGGTCCAAACCCTAAAGGTCCAATTATTCCCAATTTGCCATTGAGGGACACGTCAATTGCAGACCACGCTGCACACACTAGGACTGTTGAATGTTGACAACAACAGGGTTCAAAGCTGCTAGAGGCAAATTGGATTTGATAGAAAAAAGAGATATGAAAGAGGCGTCAACCACATTAGGGTTCAACAAAAGAGGCTTTTCGAGGAATTATCAAAATCAAAGTGAAATCATAAAATCCCATGATTTGAGGGATTTTACAATTCAAATCAGAATTTTACAAAGATTTTACTCAGCCATGGTTTTACCCACAGTTTAAATTGGTAAGGCTTCCAAAATCATAAAATTGTAGGATTTAACAATTCAAATTGGAATTTTAACTACCTTGATCCACTTGCTCAGTAGAGAGAGGAGCAGTGACGTGGTTGGTAAAGATGGCTGGTTCAACCTTGGGAGGGTCAATAGCAGCCATGGGCAGTGTGAAGAGAGAGAACAAACGTGATCAATGCCGAGAGCATCAAACAAGAAGGAAAACATCAATGAAAGAGCAAATGAACTATAGATCTAGGAAGAGCACACACCAACAATGCCCTCGACATTATAAGCAGCTGGAAAAACAGCCCAACACACTGCCATGCGCAGCAGTAATGATGGTGGAACATTGAAACCACACCTGCTTATGGAGGCATGTGGGAGCTTCGATGAAGGAGGCACCAGTGGTGTTGTGTGGCACAGGATACGACGAACCAGATCCAGTGGTCGAGGATCAGAAAAGTCACAGAAAATGGCAGCTGCCAACGGGAACAATGTTTGAGGAGTAAAAAGGTGTCGGAAAATGACCAGAAACCATGAATGAAAGCTGTTTCTGGAAAAAAAAAATTTATGCCAATGGATAGTGGGCCAATCAGGAATGGAGGGATTAGGAATGCTTCTTGTCAGGCTTTAGATATCAGGTTGAGGAGAGAGAGAAACATGAAGACATAGGATGAATCCATGTGATGAAATACACAATGGAGCTATCTATTTATGATAATCCTCAATAATTACATAAATATTACATGATATTCTGTCATCTAAATCATGCCATCTATGATTACACTATCTACATAGTTACCTTATTTACATTATTCTCAAAAATAACTAAGACAGACTGTTTAACAGCTTGCCCGTGACACAAGTAAGGGTCATGACAGATGCCCAATATGCAATAACTTTCTAATTTCATCAATTTTAATTGATTTTGGGTCTAGGCTGCATAAATATGTATAATGCACAGGCACAACTACCTTGTACTAAATTTCAACTTTTTTTTAGAAGAATAAAGATATTAAGGATTGAACTTTAGAATACTCGGCCATAGAGGCACTAATATTATGTTGAAATTATAGGGGTTTAGGTATTGCAGGAAGAAAATGAGAGTATAGAGATGGAATATTCTGAAATTGGTATTCACTTCATATGATATGACGTGTTAAGACTAATTCCTACTATTTATAATCTATTATATCCTTAATCTTAATCATATAAAAAAAAATTCATGAATAAACCCTAAGAAATAAAATAGCGAAATCAATCCTAAAAGATAATCTAAGATACTCTAAATTACTCTAAGATAGAATCAAGATATTATTGAATACTTTTGTATATTCAAACAGCAGGAGAACCTTGGAGAGAAACAATGTATGTGTTATGAAAACAGCATCACTAGATAACAGTCCAAAACTGAGAAAGCATTTGCATAGCATAGTCCACCATGTAAAGGAATAAGAGACGTGTAACAGGAGAGAAGTGTGGAATTCAAGAAAAGACATTTATAATTGAGATGATCAAAGCACAATATCACATCAACTTAAGGATTACCTGTGCCTTAAAAATACCATTGTTCCAGCATAATCATAACGTGTGGGACCCATCCAACGATACTTCTCACTTTCTGTGATGACATCACCATAAAATCCATACCTGAGGTCATTAATAGAGTATAAGATTATTAAAGAAATCTTCTTAATAATTAAGTTATGTAGGATGACTCTGCCAGTATGTCTCACAGTGTATAAATTGGAGTTAGAGTTTCTTGATGGGTCACAAAAATCTCAACTATGATAGGCTTGCATGTACATGCTAAAAGGCAGCAAAACCTTACATTTACATTTCCATCCATAGCCTTAAATGTTTAGCAAAGTGAGTACACAAATGACGTGCATTTAAAGATGTGCTTATATTATAGTTTCAGAAATTTTCTCCACTCTATTCTAGTCACAGCTAATAATCATGTTTAAGTGAATCTGACACCAAGAGTATATTTATAAAATAATAAATTTGTTAAGATGACAAATAGATTTGAGGATTAAAGATCCTCCTATAGAAAGAAAATTCAGAATCAAAAGAAAAAAATCAAGAGTTAAGGTATCCAATCCTAAACATCTATAAAATGGGAAACCCCCCTAAGAGAAACTCAAGCTTATGCCGAGTAGAACCGTACAGGTCAAACGCATAATCATAATCCATGGAAGCTGCTTACTCATTGAGTTCTCCTTAAAAACATGAGAATTAAGTTCCTAATATGTGCTACAAAGCATACACAGCTCCTTACCACAAAATTTTGGCTTCTTTACTTCTACCAAAACCAGAAAAACTAATATTAAAAAACTGGTAAAAGGACCTAATATACTGCCAAACAACAAATTCCATTAAGGAACAGAAACTGAACAGTTTAAAAAATGTGGAGCAGATTCTAAGCTTGCTGCACACATAAAATATACTTCAAGTGAAATAGCTGTGTGCCTGTGTGATTACAAACCTGCAACATATCATTGGTGTTTACTCTATCAAGCACCGCTATCTAAATAAACAATTTTACCTTAGAGGCAGCTTAGGACTCTCAAATAGGTTTATTAATATATATTGAAACCCAAAGTACAATTAGCAAGTTGCATTTCTAAAATGTTCAAGAATCAGACCATCAAAAAGCCTATCAGTTTAATTTCCTGAACTGCCATATAACATTTAATTGTGAATAGTTTATAGCCTATGACAGTTGAACATTTGTTTTCTCTAGTTGTCCAAAGCATGTCTTTTAGTCCAACAGAAAGAGATAAAATTCTTCCAGCTGGCAATATTTTTCTTTAACAGAAAATAAATAGTGAAAATAAAAGCACCATAGCAAAATCCTTTGGTGAACCACCAATAGCACCAACTACAAGGAGCTGATGATATTAAAGACTACATAATTTGTTTTCAACATGTAATATAACAGGACAGATAGAAATTACCCTGAAAAGGAAGCTGCATAACGCACATTAGGTTCAACCTCTGATCTAGGAGTTCTTTTCCACCGTACAACTTGAGCTATGTCAAGGTGCACCCTTTTACCAAAGACAATTTGCAATGCTGAAGTTATAGGATCTCGAGCCCCAGTTGTACTACAAAACAAAGAGAGTTGTATTCAGAATTTCACATAACCCATGTGAATTGTATCAGAAAACTATAATACATTGCCAAATATTGGCTACACAAATTTAAATATCATGTAATTTGCTAAAGTATGTATTATAATACCTACAAAAGAAATCTAGAACATCTTTAGTGCATCTTAGAATATTTTAGAATACCTTAAAAGGTCTTTAGAATATAGAGGACTAAATCAGTTATCTAATTAGGGAAGTAATCTAATTAAGATGTAAAATTATTTCTTATTTTTATCATTTTTTTTATTACCTCCTCTAAATAGGGTTAGTAGTCCTATTCTATTGATAGATTTAGGCTTGTGTTGGTAATAATACACTAGTTCTGAAAACTGGACCGGACCAGTCCAACTGGGAACCATCCTATGACTAGTTCAGTTGACCATTTATGAAGATAAAATATGATTTTTGTTATTAATATGTAATAAAATTAATTGATATGAATTTAAATATTAATTTTTATTAAATATATCATATAAATAATAAATTAAAATGTTGTTAAAGGATATATTTTGATTAACCAGATTTTTGAAATTTTGATTTTTGACTGAGTTCAATTGCATCGTGTGATCCATATAGGCAACCTCACCTCCTAGGATAAGGCTTGATTGTTGTATATTATATAAATTTTAAAAAAATTATATATATATATAATTATCATTGGTTTGACCAAGGTTTAACTGCAATTGAACCAATAAACCAGTACCTTCACCGGTTCAATAACAGGTCCAGTTTTAAAAACATTGACTATTACAACACCATATCAATCTAATATCACTATTCAGATCCTTTCTTTCCTCATTCCCAATCTAAACCTTATAATTCAACAGTGCAACTCTATAGATAAATCATTGCATAAATCAATATGTTTTAACAGGCAAACACGCAATCTATGCGCCATAAAGAAACAGTATCGTGATGGGCATTTTTATTCATTGGCAAACCAGGAAAAAAAGTGTTGTTGGAAACGTATATAATTAGGTTAATTTAATGTTTATACTCAATGTATGTAGTGAGTAGTCAATCCTTAGATTTGGTTACTGTAATTAGGCCTCTTTGATTTTGACAATATCTGGTATGTTTTATATATATATTCAGCTACTTGTTTGTGATTGAGTTGTGACACTAAATGTCTGCATCCCTCTGTTAAAAATATAATTATAACTATGAATTGTAATTTATGCAGAACAGGGCAGAAAAATATTCGATAGAAAGTATTGCAGAATGCCAGAAATGGTTTGGTTTTTATCAGGAAAAATAAAACAGATTATAGAGAACAAATACAGTTTTTTAAAATTGATTTTAGATATGAAACATTAATCATCTCTTGTGCAGAATTGCAAGTAGGAAGGAAAAGACTTACCACATGACAATGGCATCAGTTGAACCTGCAGGAATGATCCCAAATCTAAACCATTCATTTGGAACAGGAAACTCAGCAGCCTTATCTTCTGAATCTTCAAAAGCCACATAATAATCAAGCATTAATTTGTTATTTTTTATTTTTTATTTTTCCTTTTTTCTATTAAGAGTGGAAAATTTTAATATTAAATTCAAATAGAAGCAAAATATATATATATATATATATACACACAAAAAAAAAAAAAACATAATCTCATGATTATGAAGATTAGAAGATGTAAAAAAATTGGTGCAAAATGGGCTAGGGAATGGGTTGCACATGATGAGGACATAGGAGGTGGCATGACCAAGGCAGACAACATGGAATACATACAACTTACAAGGCCTCTAGGACTAGGAGGCTCAATGACAAGGGCAAAAGCTAAGAAGGTAAAGCGGCTCTAGATTACTTAGTGGTCACTTTATTTGAGACAGACCGAAGTCTGGAGCAAAAAGAGCCCAAAATGGTGTATTTGATTCAGATTGAAGACCTTGAGGAATAAGCCTTGCTGGATGCACCGATTGGGCATAAGTTGATGTCCAAATTGTTGAGGGATTAAGAGCATGAAGGTTGCATCCCACTTGACCCAAATTCTTCACTTAGTTTTCTTTGTTCTTACAACTAGACAATTAATGTAATAAGGCTGATTGGGCTGTTTCTGTTTGCACACATACTCGCCAAATTATTCTACTTAATTTTATTATTTTTAGTTGGGCCGATTAGAATTTTTTATTTGGGTTATACTAAGTTTAGGTCCAAACAATTTGTAAGGCCGTTGTTCACTATAAAAGCCACGCCCCAAGCTTTTAGAAAGAGGAATTCAGATAACAACTCTAGCCATTGTTTGAGACTAGTTCTCTTAGGTTTTTCTGAGAATCTCTGAACTTATCAAGGTCGCTTATCCTTATGGCTTTCATAGGCTTATCAATCCATGGATTGTGGCACCTTCCCATTCTATTTCTTTGTTTAATTCCATTCCCAATTTCAATTGAATCAAAGTATCAAACCCCATCCCTCAAATCCCTATTTTTTGTTTTAATTAACCTTTGATCATATCTCGCAAAACATTTTTCAGTGTTTCTTGAGCCTATCCTGCATTTCAGAAAGATTTCTTTCACCTTGTTTTGGTATCACTCAATTCTAAGGTGTATAATGTGAGATATGGGCTTCTAACAAGATGTGTTTTGGGGTACCTAGCGGCTGCACATTCAAATCATGCAAATGGAGGCTTAATTGGGGGATAAATTCCTTTCCTAGTTGATCCAATCATCCACTTCATCCACTTCTCAAGGGGGTTCACATCACCAGATTCACCACACGACTTAACTCACCCAAGTTACAAGTGGGACACAAGTTTTGTTCAGCATACATGCCTAAGAATAATATAAAATAAAATGGCATTGGTTGCAAAACTAACACTTCACGGTAGTCACTAAAGTATGGAAAAACTGACATTTACTGCTCGAAATGATACAATGCAATTAATGAAGTGTTGGGATGACAATTGTAATTAACGCAGCATTAGAAACACTAGGGAGTCAATGTAGCATTGGAAATATCAAGAGCTGATGTAACATTGCAAGCATTAGGGTTTTAGAAAATAGCTCAATTCTTCTTCACTGTTTTTGTAAATACAAATTGTATTTATTATTTCCTGCATATAAATACCAGAATGGTGAATTCAAATCAAGCAAGCAATTCACCAATTGCTTTTTTAATTTATCCTCTAGTCTCTTAAACTATTCTCAAGCTTTACAACTCATATCCATTACCATAATTTCAAAGACAACCAATAACCAAGAAAATATATAAATGGATGAGTGAGTGAGTGATCACAAGTTAAAGCATTTTTTTGAAAAGTAATGAAGTACAGATAAACTGAACTCACTCCAATTCAAGATTGTAGCCCCAGATTCATTTGGACCTGAAATTAGAGGAAACTGCTCTTCATATTGAGCTGAAGTCTCATTAGATGGAGTTGGTGGGTAAGGAGCCTTAAGCCTGGGAGAAAGAAACCCATTAAGGATTTCATTGAAAAATCCATCACCACCCTGGAACCACCTCAATTAGAATACAATAATTGAAAAAAAAAAAGAAAACCACTTGAAAGCAACAAGGGAACTTGAAAAGTGATTTAATGGATGCATAAATAAATAAATAAATATATATATATATATATATATATATATATATATATATATATATATATCAAGGTTTGAAACCTTATTGACATAAAGCCTCAAAAACAGATGAAAAGAATGATGAAGGAATTAGTTTCATAACATGAATATGCTTATAACATTCTTGGAAATTGCAATGTTGTGCAAGCATTAGTCACATTACAATAAATATTAAATCAAAATGCCAGTCTTAATTTTGCACATGCTCCTCATATAAAAGAAGACATCTTATGACAGCATCATTTGCAATAAAATATTAGATCAGAGGGCTAAATTTTTCATATTTATTTATGGTTTCATAGATTAGACAACAAACAAGAGAAAGAGGTTTTTCCTTAGATGGATTTTTTTTTTCTTTTTTTTTTTAATCGTAAAGGTGAGGTGAAAACAGAAAAGTGATAGAACTTGATTAGGAGAAAGAAGAAAAGTGATGAAATGAGTAATATTCTCTAGTACAACATTCTGATTATAGAGCCAGAGATGAATTACAGTAGTACTCGATATTCAAGAGACCCTGACCCTCCCCACCCCAATCCTTTCAAATGACAAGATCACACTCCCTCTCAACCTCTCCTCTTATTTACAGGCAATATACCTTAATTCTTCTCTATCTTGACCTAACAAACTAACAGACATTAAAAACCAATTAACTCTCTCAATAACAGATATTAATAGGCAGTTAGGCACCTAACAAAATGCTGTTTCCAACATCAAAGTGGTCATTGTCAGCATAAGGCAACTATAAGTATACTATGTTAGCATGAAACTAGAAAGGTATGCACATCACTGTGCTCTCTAAGAAGCACCCCATTTCACTATCAAAAAACATTGCTTGACAATTTCAACCTTAGAATTGCCCTACTTTAATTGCTTTCAAAGTATGAATGTGTTAGCAAGCCCACCACTAGACCCATATATTTAAGGTGTATCAAAGGAGGCTGGAGACAAATTCATAGACCTCCAATAACTAGAGTCTATAGAAGGAGAAATAGGACTCATAACAGACCTTAAGGGTCTTAACACGTAACAAAATAATGGAATCTGTTAGTAGTTAGTATAAATAGGAGAGAGGAACCAGAAGGGGGATACTTTTGAGACTAAACAGTTTGGAGAATTGAGAGTCCAGGTCTCTCAAACACCTGGTTGTTACCCGTATTCTTTCTACCATGAATCCCTGACTAGTAGGATATCATACTGGTATCTGCTGGGAAAAATTAGGGTTTAGTGATCAATACAGTCTTTCCTTCTATTTTTCTGATCTAGTTCTATCAACTAGTATTAGAACCTTCCTCCGTGTCTCTCAGGTGCAAACAAATAGTCTGGGTGGTGATGTTGACGTTGAGTGTGCTAGTGTTTGCCAGAGACTAATCATTAGTCAAAGGACTAGTGCACAGTCAGCCCATGTGAGCATCAAGACTATAGAGTGCGGCAGGATGTTAGGATCCAATCGCAATATATGGGACTTAAGTCCCACATTAGAAGTATGTGATTTCAGTGTAGGGTTCATAAGGCCTTGGGCTCTCCCATTACAATGGCTGGGTTTTGTAGTGTGGTTCTCCCAAGGTTCTTATCACAAAAATAGAAAATAAGACCCACAGAAGTCATGAATGGAATGTGGAAGGACAAGAAAGGAGTTGACCAGTTAGTGGAAGCACAAAATAACCTATTGTATACAAGGAAGAGAATTTGGGAAGGAAGGAAAAGATGCAGTCAGTTAGAAGGACACAAAAAGAGATGAGGGAGAGGAGGAAGAGGGGCATATATTGGGATAAGGTGGGAGAGAACCAGACCTCTTGAATTGTTTGGGATATTCTTTACTTTGTGTATGTTCTGTATAGAGGGGAAGCGAGTATCAACAATCAAGTATTTCTGTACAAACCTACCACTATGGATATCATACCAACTATTATCAGCATCAAAATTTCAATATAATACAGTATTCTGCAATTTCTGCTCCAGTTCTATCAGAATGTTTAAGAAGGGAGTAAAGTTCTTACAACAGCTACAACACCATCATATGAGTTAAGCTCCGTACTTGTTATAGATGACATCACATCAAATGCCTGTCCAGCTCTCTCTGTCACAATCACCTGGTGAAGAAAAGCCAAATTATTACCAGCATACTGATCACACCCTTGTTTGATTATCCGCTACCACTTAATATTATGATAAAGCTAAGTTCTGTTCCTCTAATTTGTAGTATTGGAGCAGACAAAAGCTTCAGTTGTGATGTGAATAGGTTTATGCTAATCGCAAATGATATTAAAGTAAGGCAGTAACTAAGCTGAGCCAAGTTAAAAGCTAATCAGCTCAAGCTAATTCAATCAAAATATATCAATCTTGACCAAGAGCTCAAAAATAAGCTATCAGTCTTTCTTGCGCTAAAACAGACAAAGCTCAAGTTAGTCAAGCTCATTAGCAAAATCAAATGTGCACAAAATAGCTAATTACTTCTTACTCACCTCTCCTCCAAAATATTAATACATATTTTCATCAAATAATTATTTTAGTTAATTTATCAACAAAATCATGTCACTTTTGCTATTTCTATTCTTAATTCTTAAATATACACAACAACTTGGCCTCTAGTTAATCAAGCATCTAAATTGAGCATGATCTCGATTAGTATCTACCATGTGTGTTTTAAACATTTATAAAATGCAATTATAACTCAAACTTTTAATAACACAAGTTCAAATAGCTCATTAGTGATTTTATTTATTAATGGAAATAGTCATAAGCAGTAGGATTGATTAGCCAAGACAAGTACAACAAAAGAACTATATATTATTCTAAAAGGAATAGAAAAATTAGAATATTCATCTGTATAAACTTCAGAAAGTAGGAAAAAGATGATAATGTATCGAACTCCACAAGTTAACCCACAAAAATAATGGAAATAGAGTTATTTCTGTTTTAACTTCCTACCACAGTCCAGAAATAAGATTTTAAAAGCTATTCAACAAGGAGTTGATGTTTATTTGAAGACTAGGTATGAACTTCTTCACCAAAATACAGTGGTTAGGACTTGAGCATACATAAACATAACAATGAAAGTATATTAGTAGCTATCCATTTAGGCAATCACTAGGGATGCTAAAATTTCACCTTTGTTTCTACTTTAGCACGAGAAAATATAGGAGCCACAGCTTCCCAGGTACTACAGCCATTACCTTTCCCACTCCTTGGATGAACAAAAACCTAGTGAATCAGAAATAATCTCTGGGAAAAGTTCATTTGAATTAATCAATGAAAGTAAATGGCATAACTATAAAGATGGTGTTGACCAATAGAAAAGCGTACCAAAAGATTCCTAGGTCTTCCAACTTCATGTTTCAAGGAAACATTAAGTTGATTTACCCACATCTGACATGTTTGCAAATCTTTATGACCAAAAGTGTATTCAGCCAGGATCCATTGAGAAGGTTGATTCTTGCTCCTTACATAACCATGCACAGTGAAGCGGTACATCTGCATAATTGTAAGAACAATACTACTAAACATTATAAACCTATAAAGGAACTGGATTCCATAACCAAGAATGAGAACAAGCACAAACCTTTAAGTCGTGACCTAAAAGTAGACACTCAGTAGCATGAGGGAGATTTGATATGTGAATCAGACCATGATTGTTTAATTCAACAGCATATATGTCTGAAAGTTTGATCTCGGTAGCAACATTTGAATCATATTTAAAGCCTAAACAAGCTGAAACATCCTGTGCCATTGAACAATTAGGAAAAATAGTATTAGATGAAATCCAAACCTATATTTTCACTTTAGCAATTATCAGTTTAAGAACTACCCCATAGTCTATAATGTTTCATTAAGGCATCTTATTTCAAGTAAATATGAGGGTAAAAGTTAAAACATCAAACATGACAAACAAGCCTTGACAGGGATGAAATTGTGGACGAAAATAAAATACAACAGGATTTCCACCAATTTATATTTGGATAGAAAAAATTATTGGAAAAATCCTTTTCATGGACAAATACAAAACCAGTATTAAGGAAACAAAATCAGGCTCAGGATGCTTATGCACAGAAGAGGATAAAAACTAATCTCATTGCACTTAGATACATCCTTATTATGATTGTTATCCCAAGTTAACTATGTCAACTATTAATAAAATAACAAATATTTAATTTTCCCCAAAAATAAATAAGTGCAAAAAAATGATATGAGAAAAAATTTTAGAAAATTCTCATACTTAGGTGTCCAGGGGAAAATAATGAGAGGAAGCAAAATCCAGTAATTCATTCTAGAATTATAATTCCAAAATGAGATCAAAGTTGATAGAAAGCATGGAGAATTGGTCCCTAATTAGCTCACACAGGGTTGGACTTGGAACAAAGCACATAGAATAACTTCATCAGCCATCATATGGAAGATTTTTTAACCTGTTGGCCTAAATTCATTTGAACAGGCTTATACATGGCTCAAGGGGTGCAATAAACTTCAATGTATCAAGGAAATGCAAACCCTTATCACCACTACATGTATTAGATCATTGAAATGTGAGCTTAAGGTTTGCCTTAACGAATTATTCACAAATAGATCAAACAGAGAAAATTTAACAAAACTAAAAATGCAGGAAATTTTCTGAATTTTATTTGAGCTTGCCACATCTAAATTTAAAAAAAAAAGTGTAAAATTGAAGAAGTGTATAGGAGAGTAAAAACCTCCCCAAGTCTACAAGCAAGTTAACCAAGAAAGATAGCCATAAAGCTTGAGAAGTTTCATATTGAATTTTATTGGCCCTTAGGTGTGGTTTCAAATTCTTCTTTGTGCTAAACAATGTGGAAGTCCTATTTGACTAGAAATTGCATGAAATATATTGTAATAATTTGACTATGGAACTATTTTTTCTGTTCAGTAACAAAGAGTACAGCTGTTTGGTTTTAGTAAAAATCTACATGCAGTCAAATCTAATGTAACGTGATTATAATGTTGTCCTATTTTCTGCAATATATTATATACCAAACTCTGACAGCTATGTTTTAATGAGAATTACATGTTACTGAATCTATTATGGCTTGATATGAATCTTAGTGAGTATGTTGATACTTGATACACAATTCTAGTTGGCTATCTGTGATCACCACTCACACGGAATGTATTCATCCCATCATTTTTGACAGATTAAAGGATTCAGAATGCAGCAGAGAAAAGGGGAATGTATTTTCAAGGTTCTCAGTATTTTCGTGTTTGTTTTAGTTTTGTTCACATTTTATCTTGTCTAAAGAGCTACAAATATTACGATCATAAAAGTGGTTAGAACTATGTATTGTGAGAGAGTATTTTGATATATGCATTGTCAAGAACATGGATGATCCTACACTGACAGTTCTGGAAACTAATTTTGGACGTTGCACTTAGTCTCTCCCTAGTATTATTCTGTTCAATGAAATGACTCCAGCGGTGGTTCCTAAAAGCTTCATGGTATCTTAAACGCAAACTTGTGTTCCTTGAAAACCGCCAACAAATCCCATCCTTACCCATGGATTAGGCTCCTCACTCATGTTCAAGCTTTAACCTCATACATAATGCATCACGAATGCATTTTATCAAACATTTCAACTACATCTGATCAAACACAGTAATAGGCAAATTCAGAGGGAAAAACAATAATCAATTCAATAACCACATGCACACCCTGAACTTGTGGTCAAAACAATCATCCACCAAATTTGACAAAATCACAAGAAAAGCCAGAAATTTTCACAAACATGTCAAAAACATTCAAATGGGACTCACATTATCCAAAGGTTCCACCAATTTCCAAGACAACGCATCTGAATTGAAGGTGAGGGTGACCTCTCCAACATGATCCAACAAAAGGGTCGAGCTCAAAATGGAAGCTTCAGCATCAAAAGGTGCAGCTGGGAGAGGTGTGGTTTCTCCCACAACACAATCGTTTCCTTCTCTCTCCATTCCCAATGGAAGAGTCAAGGAAACGAGATGATATATTTACAAATAAAAAAAGAAAGAAAGAAAAGGTTTTGAAGTTAAGGAGAGATTGAAAGTGCGTGAAAGGTTTCAACTGTCAAGTTTGAAGCGTTTGGAAAGTGCAAGGAAGGTGCAAAGGGAAGTCTTTATTATGGTTTTGGTGGTGTGTTTTTTCGAACACAAACTTGTGGGCAGAACCATTGACTCGATTTAGCCCAAGCCACTGATTGACCACAAAATTTGACCCCCAAAATTGAAGTGAATATTCTCTTACCAAAGATTACCTTGGTAACGTGAATGGTTATTATTCTTTCTTGCAATTTTTTTCTTTTACAAAAAAAAAAGGTATGGTTTTGATACCCTAATGCTAAATGAGCAAATAGATAAATAAAGTTACATATTAATAAAAAAAACAAGCCACTATGATTTTTTTATTGTGTGACACCCCGAAGAAACAAAAGCAAAACCTATTTAGAAAACGTGACTCTAGCTGAGTCAACGAATAGGGTGATTGAACTGCATCAGGAACTTAAGAAAATAAATTAACATATAATCCAAAATTTGCCATGCCATCTGCAGCACAGTTAGCCTTTCTCCACACGTGAGTCCACTGGATCATCTAATCTAGTATATTGTGTTTAGCATTCAATACTATATTTATTAATTTCATTCACCATTTAACCCAAAAAAATACTATATTTACTAAATGAAAAGTATAATCAAGCAAATGGTTAAATAATGTATTCATTAAATATAGTATATTCTAAACAAATTTATTAGATTTAATAATAGATGCATTAAATGTATAACCTTTAATTTTTAAAATTATTAAGATTACAAATTAAAATAAAATATTATAAAAATAAAAACCAAAAAATTTATATTAATTGTTTTGATTTATTATTATTATTGTTGTTATTATTATCATTATTATTATTTATAAAATAGATAACTTTTAAAAATATGTATTTAAAATAATAAAATTTATGTAATGATAATATAATACAGATAAATTAACAAATATAATAACAATTTATTTCTTAGCATGTGTTTGGATAACTATTTATTTAGATTTTTATTCAACAATTTTTTTAAACAATAATTTATGTCATAAATATATTGATAAAATTTATTGGTATAAGTTAAAAATGTCTTATTTTGATAAGTTATATAAAAATATGTATTGAAATAAATTAAAAATAATTCATGAAAATCATAGTATATTTTTTATAAGTTATTCATAAATTAATAAAGTGCATTTGGTGGTCAAGATAAAATGACAAGATATGATAACTTATAATATTTTGACTTAATTTATAATTATGAGTTATTTATAAGTTACTTAATTTAATTGGTGGTCAAGATGACATGAAAAAATATGAAATTATTTTGGAATCCATATCATCTTTCATTATGGCAAAAATTAGATCATCCAATTTTGATTCGTTTAGGTGAATTATATTCTCTTAAACGAATAAAAATAACAAAAAATACATACAAAATTCACTTAGATGAATCCTACAAGTGTCATGTCTTAGAAAACACATGCTCTCTCACTTCCACTTTGTGACCTCCTAACTTTTTACCTTTAATTTACACAATCATTTATGTAGAAACATAATAAATAAAATAAATTTTATTTAAAAAAGATAATATAAAAATATGAAAAAATTAAAATTTTTTCATAAATAGATCCATCCATAAATTTCACCAACACGATGAAATGAGATAAGATAAACTATAATTTAATAATTATACTATACCAAAACAATTAAAGAAATATAGGTACTAGATTTTCATTTACATGTAATCAGTATAGTAATTTACAAACTGTCAATTGAAAAGTTGTAGGATTTAGAATAATAATTATATAACCAAAATAAACTAAGTCCTAAGAACAGTCACACCCCATATTCAAAATATTGAGGATCCAACTCTAGTCGTCATTGTTATGTCAGCTCTGTATCTCAATCAACTCTTTCAGAGTTAGATCTTCATCTTTTCTGAGATAGAGGTCGTCAGAATCAACCACGACCTCAACACCCATGATTCACTCAAAGGTCACCTGAGTCAATCTTCCAAAGAGGTCATGATCAAGGTAAGTACATAAATAACTCACAGTTGTTGGAGTCCTTACTAAATATATAAATACAGAAGGTGTGGTGGATCTTATCGTTCACAGGAAAATATGAGGGAACACTATAATTTAAGTCTATTTCCAAAGTGTAACAAAACCTCTTATATTTATTAAATATATAATTTATTCTACAATTTTAAATTAGGTTTTAGCTTTGGAACCCGATTACTGTGGGTGTAACTTATAAAATTTTAAATAACTAGAGATTTATAGCTTAAACCTAGCCTAGGTTCTGAAAATGCGTTGATTGAAATATTAGGGATGGGATGTGTAATAATTTCTAAATTGATAATTAGGTAACTAATTTAGTAAGCTTAAGGACTTTGTTGTTTGTCTAATACATGAGTTTGAGTTTGATTTTTTGATCAATTTGTTAGCCTCTTTTTCTAGACTGATAATTGGGTTCCTAGTTTTGGTAATCTTATGGACTTTGTTGTTTGTCCAATACCTAAGTTTGAGTTTGATTTTCCTATCAATTTGTTTGCCTTTTTCTAGCTAGAATTGGGATAAGTTTAGTTCTTTATTCCCTGCTTTTGTTTGTAAAAAGAATTGATACCATAAGTTTTCCTAAAGTTAGGAAGAGGAGTAATATATATGTGGGTCTCCGTCTATGAATTAAATTTGCTTATCTTGTGGTGTATAAGGATAATTTTCTTCTTTGTCAAAAGAATAATTGCTTCAAAATAGCTTGAAAAATGACTTGACCTTCCAAGGATTAATTTTTCTCTTTAGAAAGTTGCTCATGGTAAGTTATTAATAAATGAAGGAAAAACATATAAGGTATTTTTTGCTCTAATATTTGTCCTAAGTGAGACAACAGCACCTGAAACTGTTACGTTTGTATTATAATTTTTTTATGCTTGGGATCTCTTAATTTCTCAAGCTAAATGGTGTAAATTCTTCAGTGTTGGTTTAAATAATTGAGTTACTAGTAATTTGCTCAAAATAAAGCTAAAAATTTTGTGAATTGAAAATTGATTTTTGACATTTTAGCCCAGAAAATATGGTTTGATAAAAATTCACTCATATTCATCCTTTATTTTGGTTTCTCAAGCTATATCACATGCTTCTTATTTGATCTCTTCTTGCATGGTGTAGGGTTGAATCTATCCTATGATGTGCATCAATTTTTTATTGTAAAATGGTCATCGCCTTCGTTAAACAATGTTGAACTCAATGTTGATAGTTCTATATTGTTGGTGCAGGTGCAATCGCTTGTCTAGGTCTTGTTTGAGTCTAGATGGAGGTTTTTTATAAGGATATGGGTAAAGGAATTTGTTCTCCTTTAGATGTGGAGCTACAGCCTGTCATTTGTGGTCTTCACTTCACCAAAATTATTGGTTATTTGAGTGTAATATTAGAGTTGATTCTGGGTGAGCTATACAAATTATTTTGAATGTCAGAGTTTATGATGGTCATTTTCCTTTTCTGGTTTCATTAAAATCATGTGAATCATGAAGTTAACCATTATGCAAACAAACTAACTCATATGACTCATAAGGAGCCCCTTGATTGTAATTTTCATTTTAGAGAGCAGTTACAAGCATACCGCTTTCACAAATTAAAATTCTAAAAAATCATAACAACTTCTAACTTATAAACACACGTAAGTGTTGAAATCAACTCACATCAATTTTATGAATGTAACATTCTTACTTTATTCAAAATAATAAGAAAATAATTTTGCAATTAAAAGGGAATAATTAATTTAAATCTATGGCCAGTTGAGTATAATATGTGGAATTATAAAACATTTCATTTATTTTACTCAAACTTATAAAAATTTAGAGAATGAATCCATGGAAGTTAAACAAATTAAAAAGGAAATATGAAATAACATTCAAAGATATATTGTTCTAAAAGGTTACAATGGGTTGACCTTAACAAAATATACATCAAAATACATTAGGACCCTTTTACAACATTTACAAAATACAAAATGTAACAAGTCCTAATGAGTAGCCTATCCATCAAAAGACCGAAGAGATACTAGTCATCCACGTGCTATCTCTCAATTTCTGCAATATTGTTGGAATCGAGATCCTCATCTGACCCTAGATATTGATTGCCTGAATTTGTAGTAACCTATGTGCCAGTAATTCGCTTAAAATTCCATCTGGATGGTCTTCCGAGATGGTTATGGTCATGATATGTAAACAAATAGGTCACAGCTACTAGAGTTCTCACGGTACCAAGGAATATATATATATACATATAGGGTATGATGTATTCTACTTACAGGGAAATAAAAAAGATACTATAATATAGTTCCATCTCTATCATAATAATATTCCTAGGCACATCATCAACATGTACAGCAATTCTAAAGTAGCATAGTCTTTGATATTCGTTAAATACATAGTTAAGTCTATTATGTACAAAACTATCTACGAGCCTAATTCTCTCTCTGGGTGCTGTCATCTTAGTCCCTGAAATATTTATATAAGGATGAGTCTCTATTCATATTTCCAAGCATACATTCATATTTAGTCATACGATACAACAACGGTAATACAGTAATAAATCATATCACAAAATTATATTCATATACATGCAACAATCTTTAAATATTTAGCTTATTACTCTTCATCTCTCTCTTAATACTCAAAGTCCTTATAATGCACTTTCACTACCCCTGAGATCCCTCGAGATCTTCCTTAGCAAAAGCATGGTTAAGAGTTTAGGTCAGGAAATAAGTATAAGGCATGTGATACTCTTATTTTCAGTTGTTATGCACAATTTAAAAAGAGCATCCACCATCCTCATTTCTCTAAGATTTCTCAAATTGCCTCCATCTTCCATACCTCCAGTGTATCTTTGAACAATCCATACTTGTTCTTATTGTATTCTTTTCTCATTTCATTTCTCTTTATCTGTATTTCTCATCTCATCTCTATATTTGTCATTATCTGTTTACTAACATATTATTCATGCTTTTATCTCTCTATTTTACCCTAGTTTATTATTAAATCATACATCAATCAATCATTACCGAGAGTTGGTCCCCTCAGACTCAGTCCATCACATACATGTATATACA